TATACACACACACACACACATATATATATATATATATATATATATATATTCAATTCAATTCAATTCAATTAACATTTATTCAATTAATTAATAAATACATCAAGTGATAAATAAAGTGGACAACATTAAAATTAATTAATTATGATAAAAAATAGAAGCAAAGCTATATATATCGGTGTGTGTGATCAAACACTATGCGTTTTATTTTATTGTGCAGTTACAGTAGCTTAGCATCTCAAACCAACGGAGTGGAAGTAAGTTGATATTAAAAGATCGATATTAGTTTGATTATATCACCTGTTCTTACAGTAACACTGTATCAACCGCACGCGCAGCCGGTCCGCCTCTGTGCATCCAGAGAGACACGGAACAATTATCGAACGCGAGGCCTAGTCGTGTAATTTGATTTTACTTTGCTTGCTTGACCACTTTAACAGTGTGAAGGTAACGATGGTAATAATAGATAACATGTAAGGGAATTTACTTGTCAAACGATGTTAATTGTCTGCAGTGGATAAAATATCGATTTTGTTACAACGAATCCAGAAGTAATCTGGAAATCTACTCCCATACAAACAAAGAAGGGTTATGAAAACGTTACACTTTCCGAATCCGACAGTTTAAATATAGTTTCTTATTGCGCATTGCGTCTGCATACCGCTTAAGATACCTAGTGGTTATTGTATTTTCAGATTGTCCATTATGCCTAAATAAATAATCAAAATATTAACCCTCTAGATACCGTCTTCGACTGTAGTCGAAACTGACCTCAAACCGAAAATTCCCATTTTCGACTGCAATCGAAATTTAGTGACCAAAAAATGTGGTTTTCAAATTGCTCTTCTGTTTTTATTTTAGCTCCAATACGTCAGAAATTTTGAACACGCATGCGTGAAGCTTTCTTTTTTCGAAATCTGTGAAGAACTCACATGCGCTTATACAAAAATGTTCAGAAATATCAATTTCTATTATATTATATATTATATTATATTATATTATGAATAAAAAATCCTACAAATATAAATTATACATCAAATGAAAACTTATTCTATAAGCTTTCTTTGTTTTTGAAACATTTTTCTGTATAATTTACAGAAAGTTCCCAAAAATCCACCAGAACGACGTATACTCAAAAAACGCAAAAAACCTAGTTACACTGCAAAAGAATCTGGTATTCATTGGTTTGCACTACAAAAGAATCCGGTATCCAGAGGGTTAAAACACAGTAGAGTGAAATTTATTACCTGGAGCATTTTTGTGTAATCATACAAATTACTTATTTAATTAAAGTTTAAATTGAATTTCGGTAATTATAAAGAAAGGCTGTGTTGTATTCATGTGTCTCTGTTGTTGGGTGTCAAAAGACCATTGTTTATCAATCACAAATTGAATGCATACAAACATACATACACAATACTGTACCATTTATGTTCCAACATTTAACGACTAACCTTTATTTTATTCTACGTGTTGTACACTGTGGATTACATTAATAAGCAATTATAGATTTTTTTATTAACACCATGATATTATTATTGCTTTTCCAGCCAAAACAGAAATATAATTGACTTGCGTTTTCTTAATGTTCCCCTCTTTGTACTATAGGACTATTTCGTTACACTCGCGTGAAAAATTTAGATACAACACTGGAAATTGTAGTACCATATTTATTCGAATAAATGCCCCGGGGCGTTTAATGTTCAGAATAGTTTTTGAGGGGGGCGTTTGTTCGAGGAAGGCGTTTATCTTTTTGGTTTAAAATATATATACTCAAATAAACGCCCCTTAAATTCACCGTAAATGTGGAACAGTAGAGTGTGATAAAAATGATGTTGGTTCCATTAGCTTCGTTTAGTCATTTAGGGGTGGGGGCGTTTATTCCAAATGAGGCTCTGGAGGGGGTGTATATTCAATGGAGTGTTTATTCAAGGGAGTGTTTATTCAAAGCTGGGCTCGGTAGTGTATTGGAATAAATACGGTACTATTTAAGGACTAATGTGAGTAGAGACAATAATGTAAATGAGTGATACAGGAAAAGCATGGAACTAGGACAGAAATGTTAAGGTTTGTTGAGATAATGTATACTTTGTTACATAAAAAAGGAATAACCAACTAGGATATTAATGCGAGTTCGTTTCTTCATTCTTGTTACCTTTAAGATTAGGGCCTATGAACGTTTCCAACTCACTTTTAAATCTTGTCATAAAATAACCCAATCATAATTGTAAATTTGATGCAAACCACTTGCGTGGGCCATAAACGTAAACGGAATGAAGTAATACCGTGAACATTTTCACCGTCTCGAATATAGGACAACTTATTTCATATCATCCTATTTTGAAAGGTCAATGTGGCTTTTTCATCCACGTTTCGACACAATATTTGTTTGGCGCTTTATCTTGGAAAATTAATTATCAGTATAAATTGATTTTCAGAATGGGAAAATTTTCACCCAAATTATAATTTTATTTCTCGGAATCACGGTTATTTCAGTTTTTAAATGTCCGCGGAGAGTTTATTTCTTCATAAGATGCAAAGCCAGCTTATGTTCATTCTATAGTTCATCGACGTCACAAGAGAAGATGGGAGATACATAGGTATTGATCGGTTAAAAGAGCCAAGATCATTTTAAGACTATCTCAAATATATCAAGTCCCATGATTGGCTCCCGTTCGCAGCTGAACCAATCGACTTGCATAATAATGTAATCGTATTTCCGACTGAAACTAATTAGTTTGAGTGAAATCCAAGGTAATAAGAAATCAAATATGATTTCAATTGTAGTTATATATCATAACATCAGCTGTTGTGAACCGGCATTTAATTTTTTCCGAATAGTATCATCGATTGATAAACGAGGACATAGTTTTGCAGTGAACGAGGACAGATTCTGGTGATAACCCAAGTATCTAAACTAAACTCAATCAGTAAAAATAATTATTAACAAAAGAGGAATATAAAATATACAATTTTGCAGCGACGGACGGCACAGGCCTTAATAATGTTTCTCACTGGTGACTCCAGGGCGTGTGAGGGAGTGGGGCACATGAGCGAAGTGAGGGTAGTCAGGCTGGGGTACAACCTGTGGGACCAAAACAGAGTCCCCTTAGGGGTGTCTCAAAGGATGGGTTCTAATTTACAATAATATTACAACAACAAACGGTGAGGATAAAGATATATTATTTCGCCTATTGAGATATGAATATTATATGAATTTAATTATGAAAAGAATAACACTATTAACAATAACAGCAACAAAGCGTTCCTCATTCCATTCATCTGTTTAATTTGTACCGTTCCAACGACTTGGCTTGTTTGTGTGCTTTGTGCTTTGTTTCTCTTTGTTCATGCCTAATTTATGAAGGTTGTTATTTTTGTTATTTAAAATTAGTAATTATTTAATATTTAAGATTAGTCCGGGGACCTACAGGCCATGTCCTCCTTGGTCCCCGGCACTTGTTGTAGTTAAGAAACAAGTGAAATAAAATGAAGTGATGTGAAGTGAAAGAACAATAATAATAATAATAATAATAATAATAATAATGATAATAATGATATTTGTAATAAAAATAAATTGATTAATCAGCTGATAATATAAAAGTCATAATAATAGATATACTAATAATAAGTATTATAAGGATGATGATGATGACAATGACGACGATTATCATATGTGGATGATGATGATGATCATTATCATGCTTTTTATTGATAACAATAATGGAGATAATAATAATAATAATAATAATAATAATAATAATAATAATAATAATAATAATTACATTTAATAATAATAATAATAATAATAATTACATTTAATAATAGTAATAATAATAATAATAATAATAATAATAATAATAATAATAATAATCACAATTGATATATAAATAAAGATTCAAACCATAATAAACATTAATGTGAAGAAACACGCACAGGTATTATATTTTACATCTTCACCTGGTGTAAAGGTAATTGATCTTCACTTATTCCAGTTGCATTAATTGATTATTCAAATTGCGGCGAGCATGTTTAGTTACCATGCGCTTTTAAATACATCATCATATCTGGCGCAGCATATCCTTTCGGCCAGACTACAG